TTTTCGCAACTTGGAATCGAATAACTTGTCTTTGAGCTCTGGATATCGTCCTTGTGGCTGAAATATTCCTTTGGTACGGTTCCCCATGCACGTACAACTATGGATGAATTCATGAAGTCGAATGTTGTTACCGGTGAGTAGTAGACGCAGAAAACTGATTTGATAGTTGATGCGGCACAGTTATGGTATCTGCAGAATGCCGGCGATCCAGATTTTTGAGTTCCGATTGGGATCGGATTAGGTATCAATCTTCCATCGAAGGAGAAGCAGTAGTAGTCTTCTTTATTGAGGAAGTCCTTTCTTGTGATGTGCAGCTCTGGTACGATTATTTTTGTGCCGTCATATAATTCAATTTGATAAAAAATTCCAATTTTCCGTGAATCGGAGCATATCGTCGACTTTTGGAACGAACATACTTGTGGTGGTTTGTAGTTGAAAAGCGATGGAAGAACGTTGTTGGAATGCGATGTTTCTTTATGTCTTCCATTGTAGAATGAACAAGTTTTTGTCCATTTTGGGCAGCTACATCTGCTCCCGCAGTATCCTGTGTTTGGAGGCAGTGGTATCGGTATGCTGATGTGTCCTGATGGGCATTGGATAGGAAACCAGCATAGTCGTTGTTGATCGTCGTTGTTGCCAGTTATAGAAGCTACTGCGATTCCCTTTTCCATGCATTGGTCGGCATAGATGATTTTTTTGACTATGGATATCGAGCTAGGGCATTTCGTGTTGATAGCGGCATCTGAAGCATTGCATCCTGATACGATCACGGCAACGATGGCGAGAAGGAGCAGTGAAGCATTCTCCGTTTTCGATCGTGTCAGCATGGGATGTGAAGACTTATGAGTCTTTTCTCTGGAGTCTTCTTTTTTTTCCTTCGTTTGGATTAGCTCTTTTGTGAGGTAACACTTCCAGTGGGCTTATGAGATTGATTGGCCTAGTGATCACCTCCTTATTTGCGAGACGAAGCTGCACTGTCCTCTGGTACTCGTCGTTGGATCCGATTACCTGGCCTAATTTCCATTGTCCTCTTTTTAACGTGTCGTCCTGGATGATGACGTAGTCGTGAAGGTTTGGATGTTCAGCTTTATGCTCCAGACGCGGATGTTTGTGCGAACGTTGGTATTGTTCTCTCAGACTCAATATGTATTCCTTGCTCCATCGTTTCCAGAAAAAATCCAATATTTCTTGTGTCGATTGCCACATTTCGATGAGGTCGCTTTGTATATTCGTATTCGCCTGGGTTTCTTCGATCCTTTCGATTCGAGGGATGGAGACTATGGCGGTGGGTCTCAAGAAGTCCACTGGTCGTAGAGGGATATGCAATAACTCGTCGTTGACGTACGTTAATGGACGACAGTTGCAGATCGCTGCACATTCTGCTACGAGAGTCTTCAAGGTCTCAATGTCGTAGATGTCCTTTCCAACTGCGCTTCGATATGATGCCTTGAAAAGACCGACCATTCTTTCGTATATCCCTCCTTGCCATGGACTGTGGCTTGCTATGAAATGGAACTGAATTTTGCGGTTTGCACAATAGTCTGTTATAGTTGTGTCGTTTTCCTTCGTCTTGAACAAGCAAACCTGGACTTCGTTTAGTGTTCTGAATACCTTGGCATTATCACAAACAATCCATCGTGGGAATCCATTTGTTGCGATGAATCTCCGTATTACGTGAAGGAGAGCTATAGCAGACATACTTGTTACGATATCAGTGACGATGGCTCTGGTATTTAAACACGTGATGAGGACGATCCAATATTTCGAGATAGTAAGGTTGTCGACTCTGTATTGGAAGGGTCCCATGTAGTCAATACCACATCGTTCAAACGGGTATTGTGGTCGGGTAACTCGTTCGCGAGGATGGATGGGAAAGTCTGGTAATGCATACGGCTTGGATTTTGCTTTCCGGCACATGTAGCAATTGTTGTTGATTGTTTTCTTCACCGTTTGCCTTCCCTTAGGTATCCATATTTTCGTGCGGATTTCACACAACGTCTGTTCCACTCCGCAGTGGTGATTGATCTGATGGACGTGGAGGATATATAGCGAAGAGATGTAGCTTTGTCTAGGAAGATAAACTGGCTCAATGGTGTGAGGTGGTAGTTTTGCATTATTGATCCTTCCTTGAGATTTCCATAGCAAGGTATCCTTACAGTAATACAAGTTTAGTTGCTGTCTTGTAGTGTCATCCGGAGGGTGACTCAGCTGCGCTTGTCGGCAAACGATGATTTCAGCTGCTGCAATCAGATGGCTTCTCTTGTCGGAGAAGTAATCTTTTGCTTTCGACGATTTTCTTACTGCAAAGAGTAGAACCAGGACTATCGTATTGAGAAGTTTTGTCCAGGTACTGAATCTTTCTTCCTCGAATAGTGGTTCGTAATTTATCGACGCTGACGCGAAGAGTTCTTTTTCTACGTCGAGCTCGTCCGTGACATGACTAATGTCTTTTGGCCATTTTTCGGAGTTGTGCAGGAATTCTGGTCCACTGAACCACAGCTTTGATTCTAGAAGCTCCTTCACGTTTAGGCCTCGACTTCCTATGTCTGCTGGATTCTGGTCCCCGGGAACAAATCTCAATTCGGATGTCGGGGCGTTCTGTTTTATCGTTTTGATGCGGTTGTTGATGAAAACTGGTAGTGGTTTTTCGCACTTTGTCCATATCAAGGCGGCTTTGCTATCAGACCAAATGTAGCTTTTCCGGATTGGTAAGTCGAGCTGAGATTGTAGGAAGTTCATGAGTTTGGCTCCTATTGTTAATGCCGAGAGTTCGAGACGAGGTATTGTGGCGGTCGTGTGTAATGGCGTTAGTCTTGATTTAGGCCATAAGCAAAGAAACTTCCTTTGCATTGGTGGGTTCCGTCGTTACCAAGTATGCCACAGCCGCATATCCAATTTTCGATGCGTCCGTAAAGATGTGGAGGTCGTAGTGTACATCGCTCGAACCGGAGGATGGCAGTCTGCGAGGGAGATGAAGTTCCGGAACGGACCAGTTTTGCAATATGGATGTCCATTCTTGCAGTAGATCAGATGACAGGATTGTATCCCATGGAATTTGTGCTTTCCACAGCTTTTGAATGAACACCTTGGAGATTAGCGTCGAAGGTGAAATCCAACCCAGTGGGTCGTATATGCTGGCAACATACTTTAGAACCTTTCTTTTCGTCCAAGTTGTTTCCTTCTCTGGTGGCAGGGGGAGGGATAGTATGAGGTCGTCCTTCACAGTGTTCCATTTTATTCCTAGAATCTTCGTAATTTTGTCCACTGGAGCATGTTCCTGTTGTTCCACCAGTTTGTTGAAATCCGCGTCGTTACTTGCGAACTCTCTGACATTCATACCTGCTTCTCGGAATATTTCTTTGATTTCTTCGTATATTAGCTCAGCATCGTGACTGGATGTCGCTTCCATGAACAGGTTGTCCACGTAGATATTCCGAAGAATCTTCTGTGCCAAAGCTGAGGAGTAATTGCTGAGGTGATAACGGATCGTGCCAGCCAAAAGAAATGGAGATGAAATCAATCCAAAAGGTACTCTTTTGAAAACGTACGTGACAATGTTTCCTTCTCGCATTCCCAAGGAAGGATCTCGAAGCCAAAGGAAGCGTGTGAAATTTCGGCTATCTTTGTCCAGTCCCACCATGAGGAAAGCCTTCTCGATGTCTCCGACAACAAGAATTTTCATGAGGCGGATTCGGAGAAGTATACCTGGTATTTCTGGAAGAAGTACTGGTCCCCTGTAGAGCACTTCATTGAGGCTTCTCTTCCCTTTCGTTTTAGCGGAGCCATCGTAGACACATCGAAGTTTTGTAGTTTTGCTGTTTTCTGATATCACACCGTGATGTGGAAGGTAGTGGCAGAGCGTTGGATTGTCCTTGTAGTCGACTTCTTCGATGATCCCCTTTTTGAGTTGATCTATGATGATATTGTGGTATTTCTCCAGAAGGCCTGGTTGTCGGCTCAGTGCGTTGACAGTGCTATTGAGACGCGAGATTGCCATGTCGAAGTTGTCAGATAGTTCGGAAAGATCTTCTTTGAGTGGTAGTTGCACCACATATCGTCCCTCATCTAAATCGAAATGTATGGTATCGGTAAATTCTTGAAGGCACTTGTCGTCATCAGATCGAGCGATTTCATCAGATATTCCAGCAGATTCAAGGGACCAGAATTTTTCCACTATTTCTTCAAGTTTTTGATGCTGCAGTGGATTTTCTACGTCATCGGCGTCGCTTATTGCCACAAATGATCGGTGGCTTGGAAGAGGCTTTCCAGTGATTATGTTTCCGAGTCTTGAGTGGATGAGGTTGTATCCGTTTGGCAGTTGCTTGATGTAGAAATTGTCTGACAACATGAGTTCCCAGAAGTAGTCGCTTCCTATCAGTAGACCTGGTTGAGTGTTCACGCTCCACGTCTTTGTGTCGTCTCGTTGATGTTGATTGAGCAGTTCCATTTGCATTGGTTCCATAATGAATGGAAGCGTCCTCACATGTAAGACGATTTGTTCATAGTTCTCCAGAAGTAGACCAACCTTGACTTTCGAAGACATATGTGATTGTGGTTCACGTTTCGCGAAGGTCTGGAAAGAAATAAGCTGCTCTTCTTCCATGTTCAAATTCAAGCGTTGAGCGATATCCTTTTTGATTATTGTTGTGGAGGCGCCACTGTCGAAGAATGCAGTAGTGTCCAATCTCAGCAACGGTTGATCTGGATTGTAGAGTGTTATTGGTACACACATCATAAGACTCGCCTTCGAAGTTACGTTTGCGTTGATTATATCTGCCGCATAGACTCGTGGAGTTTCCTCAGGTTTCTGATGTTGTTGTTTATTGTAGTCTACTTCAAAGAGCCGCTGCCTTTGTCCGCCTTCAGTAGGAGCTGAGATATTGTCCTGGTTAGGATTCTCGATGGTCGCGTTTGACCGATGAAGTGGTAGTCGTGGCGCTAGTGGTGGAGGACGTAATTGCATTGGACGGTGAAGCCGTTGAATTGCTTGTCCTGCTGGATTTTGAGTGAAGCATACTGACGAGTGATGACGTTTGCTACAATGAATACAGCAGTTCTTGGAGGGGCATTGCTTTGTAGCATGTCGTGGAGACAGGCAGTTGTAACAGAGATGCTTCGTTTTGATGACCTTGACGCGTTCCCTCGGAGTCTTATATGTTGTGCATGTAGAAGAGTTGTGTGCGATATCTCCGCAGAATTTGCAGGTTTTCTGCAACTGACGTTTCCTTGTGGGAAGTTGAGGTTCGCTTCGTCTGGATTGAGGCTTCTTGTTCTGGAAGGCAGCGTTCATGAGAAAATCACTATAGAAGTTGGAGCGATCTGCCATTTCCTCCAGTACTGCTTCTTTTCTGACGATTTTGGTGAGTATGTGAAGAAGTTGAGTTGGAACGAGGTTTTCGCTGTTTCCAGTGTGATCGTAAACACGGCTTCGGATGTGGCGTGGAAGCTTATTCAGTAGAATTGCTCCGAGTGCGTATTCTTTTGAGTCATCTTCATACGTTGTGAACTGGCGAACCATTGCAAACATTTGCGAGTAAAGGGCGAAAAGGTTTTTGCCTTCGTTGTCGCATGATGGGAGAGAGGCGAGTCGAGTATAGAGGATATGGCGCGTTGTTACTCGATCCTCGAAATGATTCTTCAGGATTTCGACTGCTATTGGATAGTTAGCAGCTGTTATTGCCAGACCCTTGATCGTCTGTAGAGCTCGACCTCGAAGTGTAGACTTGAGAAGTGAAAATTTTGTAGCGCCGTCGAGTTGCGGTTTGTCACCTATCAAGGTGGAGAAGCGGGCCCAGTATTCGGGAAATTCGAGTAGGTTGCCTTCGAATATCGGGAGATCTAGCTTGCTGAGTATAGATGCGTCGACGAATGACATGTTTGACGTTGCTGGTGTTTGGGAAGTAGGTATTTGGGAGGTTGTGTTGGCGGTAGTCACGTAAGCTGGATGGGCTATCTGATGGGCCATTGGGTGCTCTGACGAATGTTGGGAATCTCCATCCGATTCTACGTACGGTTCGAAGTCTATCTTCCTTTTTCGGAGTTCTGCTTCAATGAGTTGCCTTTCTTGGTCGAGTCTTTCCAATGTAGAAATAGCGTCGTTGAGGAGAATACGAAAATCACCGTATTTAGTGACGTACTGTTGTAGAATGTCCTCTTCCACCGGATTTCCTTGGATTAATTCAATCCATTGCTTCCACAGTCGATCGACGCGAGAGTAGGTACGGTATAGATAGTCGTGTGTTGACGTCTGTCCTTCGTAGGTAGCGAGAATATCGTCATTGGTGAACTGTTGAATTCGATCTTGTTCAGTGTGTTCCTTTTCTGCTTCTTGGAGTGCTTTCAGTAGTTGTCGTTTAGCAATGCCGATTTGTTGGCGGATGATGCCAGACATCTTGAGGAGGTGTTGTGTTCACGATGAGGTTGATCGGAGAATTGGATGATGTATGGCGAAGGACTGTAGGTAGCAGATGGCGAGTGTAGGTATGGTGTATTGTGGATGGGCAAAAGCCGTGGAGGGGAGTGGGTATTCGTTGGTACGGAGTGGGGAAGGATGGGTAGGGTTGGGTGGTTGGTATGTAGGGAATGTGGTATTATTTGGCAGGAGAGTGGTCCTGTCTATACAAAGACGATGGGGTGTTGGGTGGTTGGGCGGTAGCCTTTGTGAATTTTGGGTCCTTTCCTTATGGGATTGCCGTGATCCCCTTTTTGGAATTGGAGTTGAATTGGCCGGGATTGGTTTTTGTCGTCCGTGGAGAGGGTGGGGAAGGCTGGGTAGGTGAGGGAGGGACTGGGATGGCAGGGATAACGCTGGAATCGATTTTTGTCGATCGTGGAGAGGGTGGGGAAAGTAGGGAGGGAGGTGGGGGCGATGGTTGATATTCCTGTAGTTCGGCTGGACGTGGAAGTTAGAGTTGAGGATGTAGTCGCGATCCTGATACTTGTCGGCCTGGTTTTCTGATGTTGAGTTAGCCGTTAGGAGGTTCTTCTGACGATGAGCACTGCTACTGGAGCTCGAAGATCCGACGTTATGTGAGTTCTTCTTTGCCGTGGTCGCCATGTGTTGAGCCTTGTCGTTTTGCTCAGAATCATTTATTCTTCTTTTACGGTAGTATTTATACAGAGAGGGAAATGTAAGGAATGCAATAAAATGCAGCTAAGAAAAGATTTTGTCATAACATCGAAGGCAATTTTCTCTTAATTAAAAAGTGATTCATTAGAAAAGAACGAATCCAATACACTCCACCGTGGTCGCCCATGTGTTGAGCGTTGTCGTTTTGCTCAGAATCATTTATTCTTCTTTTACGGTAGTATTTATACAGAGAGGGAAATGTAAGGAATGCAATAAAATGCAGCTAAGAAAAGATTTTGTCATAACATCGAAGGCAATTTTCTCTTAATTAAAAAGTGATTCATTAGAAAAGAACGAATCCAATACAGCACTCATCGCCCGATGGACGATCCCCCGCAGAAAACTTCATCGGTCGACGCCATGCGCCAGAAGCTAGGCCAGACATCGCCATGGAGAAGCAGTTCAACCGACGACACGGCGCCAAGCCAAGGAAGTTTGAGCCAGATGACCTCGTTTACGCTCGCGACTTCCGCTCCGGACAACCCAGATGGTCTCCTGGACGCATTCTACTACGACACGGCCGAACGCTCTACGACGTCCTAGTACAAGAATCCATCTGGAAGCGCCACGCCAATCAACTACGCCCACGTGCTTCGCCGGAAGATGCACGCAACCTAATGGACGCCTTCGATATGCCGTTCAACTCCACACCAGTATCGCCTTCAAGGACGCTGACGCCACCGTTGTCTCCGATGGTCACGACTGCACCGTCTACGACACTACCCCGGCAACGACGACGACAACTACACCCTTGGAGCCTCCGACCACCGCACCCGGACGACGATCGAGCCGCACTCGACGCCCTCCTGATTACCTTCAGATTGACCCGTACGCCAAGTCGTACCAGAGCCGTCAATCTTAGGGGGGAGGTGTTGGGACACCATGTGATCTCTTTCTTTTGTACTTGATCTGTAACCTACGCGACCTGCTAGATTTTGACCAGAGATCTGGCGGGCCAGTACGGTATATAAGTGTACAGTTTCATTGTAGTTCAGTTCAATGTCTTCTAATAAATATTCTACTGCTGCCCGTCTTCCGAAGGACACAACAATCCCTTTTTGGGATGCGGCACGCATTCTACTTCCATTTGTACATTCGTAGTGGCGTTTGAATGCGATGTGGCCTATACAATGACTTGCGGCGTAGC